GAGTAACAACATTAGTAACAACACAGTCACTGACTTTAAAATGATGACGGGCTGAGAAAGCCGTTACACGACATTCGAGATTCCATGAAAAAATGAAAAGTGCTAGCCAAGCAGTAAATTATCGGTGAAAATGGCATATTATTCCATATTCAAACACAAATACAGGTATGGTGAGAGACCCATCAATTCGTTAATCGATCAGTGCGTGCTCTGGAGAATATTGATGGATGAGGCAGAATTTGATACTAGACCTCGTTCATGTTTCAGACCACCATTTGTAAAACGTAGCGGCACGTACAATCGTCTGGTAAAATTGACCGTTTCTACTGACAAACACCGTTTCTGATCGTATGTATTACAGTATCCGGTGCGTTTGCTGGTTTTCTGACGATGCTCCTTTATAGCAGTGATTTCGCCGCGATTCAAAACGTTGCTCTGTCTGCTGAGCCCGAAAAAGTTATGGACTCAGTGATTATTTCGATACTCCATCTTCACCTAATCTCGACCCTGCTTAAACTGACTTCTGAGTACGTTTGACATCGCGAGGAATCCAGCCACTAACGGCTGTTGTCCATCGGTTGTCATTCTTCCGCATTACGTGTCCGGCCCACCTTATCTTCGACTGTTTGGCGTGCAGAACGGCATCTTTGATTTTTGATCGTTGACGCAGATCGGAGCTTCGAATCCCATCCCTTACTTGTGTGGAACAGGATACTCCCAGCATCGTCCTTTCGACTGCGCGTTCGACAATACTGAGTGGTCCTTCATCTTGCTTACGCAGCGACCAGGTTTCTGGCGCACATGCTAAGGCAGGAAGAATCGTGGAGTCAGAAAGCTGGGAACGGAGTCTGGTGTTCTTTGTCCACTTCACTGCTCCGGATGCTCGATGCTCCTGAAGGTTTCCCAAGCTACTCGCTTCTCCCCGCTCAACTCTGGAGCTAAATAGTTCATAATTTTAACTTCCTACCTAGATAGATGTAGGTGGATCATTCCAACACAGTCGTTCCGTCGAGAGTGAATGGGACATACGGAACCAATCCTTTACTCATAAACATTATTATGAGACATAGTCAAAGACCAATCATTCCCCAGGCAATGTCACAGCCAGCAGGCAAGTGATCCGCCTAATGCTTGGTGTTATAACAACGAAGTCGTCGGTAAAGCGAAGGCGGTGTAATTGCCAGCCATCGATTTTCACTTCTATGCTGTCCGATTCCAGTGTTCGTATTGAGTTCTCAGTGGTCGCGGTGAATAATTTTGGCGAGATGATATCGCCTTGTTTAACACCTTTGACGTCGATGTTAATATCGTTGCACAAAGGTGATATCTTGGTTGTGAAATTTTTATATATCTCACAAAGAATGTTCATGTTAAGGATGGCTCGAATGTAATGTTTATAGAAGACAGACAGTAAATAACTAGATTGCGTGATACTTACTTGGGTACTTGGATGGCCTGTCTTCATTGGTTGTGCGAGTCCTAGCATAACTTCCACTTTTTCGGAGTTTTGCTGGCATAGTCTGTATGGTTCTCTGGGTTACCAAGTTCAGTCTGGCCAATGTCTGCCTCAGATCGTCATCACCATAGGCATTCGCCGCCCTTGTGGATCGGAGAGAGATTTGCCACCATGTGACTAGTTTGATACCAGGACGGCGATGGATCCCGGTAGTGGTTTATTCTTAGCTGGACTTTGTAATTGAAATACCGGACTCCTTCTCAACCTGGGAGACCTTGCTGGTGAGGATGGATCCCCTCGTCACATTGCAATTCGACACCCTACGATGAAGCGGTAAACCATTGGAAAGATTGGAATAGTTGCCGATATTGTGGAGATGACTTCCTTGAACAATAACACAGTCTTACATTTATATTAAATAGGTACCTCGCATTCTGATATGTAACACGTTAAGAACCGAGACAATGTTTTTATAAGGAATGGTGGAAGGTTCTTCAGGTGTTCAGATCTCTTCTTGTGAGGACCACGAGTTGTTCGATTTTTAATCCACGAAGTAGTACATCAGACTTCGAAAGGAAGAGCCGTCGGTGCGACGATATATGAAAACTCCTTTATTTTGTATGAGGGCAGAACCTGGGTAGTGAAGGGATCTGAGTAGTAACTGTGATTTTCTCCACTGCCTTTTTGGATGTTGTAACTGTTCCCGTCTGGGCATCAGAGTGCAATCTTCTTGGTTTTGCAAATGACGAAGCTACGGTGTGCTTTGCGCATGCTTTTCTCAGGCTCTGCAGCTTCGACCGTAACTGCTGCTCTTCTCTCTTTAAAATTTTCCTTTATCGCTTGTCTGCATTGTTTTGCAAGGTCGGACGTGAGTTGGTGGTTGCCTGCAGCTCATGCGATTCCGTGCTGGTGTATCATCCTGAGTGTTTCTGGAGACAGATGTCTCTTAGTGACGCTCGAACTGACGTTCTCAGCTTTCATAGCGCTAACGTGAAGATGCTGAATAAGCCAATCGTATTCCTCGACGATGTTATCGACAACGGCATCCAACAGCCGACTAATGAATTGAATGAGTCCCAGTTTATGGTGGTTCTGGGACTTCGGTTTTGAATTTAGCGGCGTTTTCTCCTTTCCGGGACATATGGAATCTTGCACGAAGGAGGCGATGGTCTGATTCCGTGTAGAATTTTGGGACAGCAGCGACATCGGTTAGACAAAATCTTCTATTTACTATGATGTGGTCTATATCTTTATGGTACTCTCCACTGGGTCGCTCCCCCATCCAGCGTTGAGAGTGAGACTTCTGGAACTGCGAGTTATCATGAAAGGCCTTGTTCGTCGTGATAACCTCAGATAGGCGCTCACCCTGCACGCTCCATTCTAATCCATGGGTCGTGATGTGACGTTCTTCAGACGTCTTTTGGGTCAACACTTAGCGTTGAAGTACTCAATGATGATCTTAACGATTCCCATGGCCGACTTTCTTTTAACCTCGGCATTTATTGATAATTCGATGTTTTTCTTCAATAAGCAGACACGAGGTTGCTGTTATAGAATTCATTAGGATAGAATAGCCGACGTTTCGGCGGTTTCGCCTTCTTCGGAGTCGTTTATTTGTTGTAAGTATTTAAGTTAGTTGGTGGATGGCAGCCGCACAGAGTAATACGTGGGCGATAACTGTAATACAGCTACAGTCAGCCGAAACGTCAGCTATTGTATCATAATAAATTCTATAATAGCAACCTCGTGTCTGCTTATTGAAGAAAACATCGATCTTAACGATTGTTTTGTCTTCTTTGTAGAACTTCTCCAAGTCAAATACTACCACTTCGTTTTCGTCATGGCTTATTGTGGGTGCGTAGACGATGAAGATTATCAAAGCTGCTATTGACTCATATTTCTTCTACCGTAAACCTCCGATTCGGGTTGTTGGCTGTTCGATGTCCATAGTCAAACTCGTGTTGACGAGAGCGTCTACGCTGCCGACTCCACCATTATCGCATGTTTCAAGGACCAGCTCTTCTGCAGCATCACAGACGGCACTAAATGAGAGAGTGGACGACGTCTTCGCTTCTTACGCAGTCCAATGGCTCCGCACCTTATCGTTCTCGCCTGCACGATCGGGTGCTCTATAGAAGGCTGAGATGCAACTGAGCGTGCGTTGTAAGTACAGATCGACACCTTAGCCCTTCGAGGCTCAGGCAGCTTGGAATGGTCGTGGGATTTTGGCAGCTTCTCCGTACCCGTCCTACCCAACGCTATCGTCTTCTTGGTTAGGGAGAGAAATGGAAAGAGAGAATAAGGCTCAGCTTATATACACTATTGTGTTTAGCGTTTGACACTCACATGTAGCTCACTGAGTTCTAGACGCGGGCTCGATACACACACGTGTAACTTGGCAGTCTCTCCACGAGTAGACGTGGAGGCTATTTGTTGGAGGGTATCACCTAACCGCCTTCCATCTATTTCCATGTCAATTTATTGTAGGCTTTTCGCCAAATTGACTCGTAGAGTACGATCCGTATAAGCAAGAACGCACCCACACACGTATGCATGAACACGTCCTCGTAAACACAGAAGGCATGTGCCACATCGGGACAGCAGAAAAAAGAAATCCAACCTCTGGACTCATCTGCTTCTCAGTGAAACATGGGGTCACTTTTCTGGGGACGCGCCACGTTACCAACTCTCCACTAACCAACATGAGATCTCTCTATGAAGCAGATCCGATTAGTTCCAATATATTACTGATTAAATACGCTGTAATGTTAGGGCTCCTTTTTACTCACACCCTCTACAAATATTCGATGTACCGCATAATTTGGGTTCAAATATTCACCAAACATACTGTAGCATTGGCCGCTAGTCTGAGCAACACGATTCAAGGCGGAAGAGAAGTGAGAAACATACACCTTCTCGCAATTCTCATCAGAATGTGTTGCCATCACAAATCATGACCGTTCACTCCAATATGAGTACTTTATTGAAGAGATGAGTACTTTTTCATTACTTAGCAAGACGAATGTGCAAGTTAAGATACGGTTAGATTCATCGATACAAAATAGTCGATGATAATTTATTCGCAAGAAATGAACAGCATAACAAACAAATAACAATGTGAGAAACTCATAATGCTGGAGACAGGATACAATAGGAAATCAGGATCGAGAACATTAAACCCCAAAGCTCGCGAGAATTCCAACAGAACACTGGGCAAAACCTGCAACGATGAGTTTACGCTAGCATACGATGTCAGGAAAAACAAAAAACATAGTCTATGGACGATAAGTTTTTGTAGTTCAAATCAAATTTTTCCTCATCGCTATTACAAATGTAGATCCAATAAGTTCAAAACATAAGACGTCAAAAATAACTTTGTTCCTACTGAGACAGACGCCATTTTCTATCAGCACCTAGGCAATAAATACAAACTTTTTGAAAGAAATAACCCTACTCCTGCAGTGGTCAGCAGAGATGGGCTTCATAACCGCAGTATAAACAATTTTGAACAAAAGGTTTGATTCTCCGACGAAACATACCAAATTTAGCGACCTCGTCCACGAGGTCCTCCACGTCCACGTGGCCCACCTCTACCTCTGCCACGTGGACCACCGCGTCCTCTACCACGAGTACCTGCACGGGCTCTGGCTGCTTTCTTACGGGGCTCATCATCGATAAGCATTGTATCGAGGGGAAGAGAATCCGGTAGAATGATATAGCGAATATTGTTTCCTAGAAACACAAGCTTCACCTCTAACCTAATCACAAACTTTATCCCTCAAGCAAGAGATCTGTACTGGACTCAAGAAAACGCAAAAAATGATGTGTTTCAGAACTAAGTCCTGTTTTTTAACATGTAAATTGTTGTAACTTAATAGTTCACTGTGATATTTGGAACTGACTGCAAAACAACATCGTACGTGCACACATAGGTCGCTTTCGTACTCCGTCCCCAGGTAAAGTGGAATGTGTCGTCCCCTCGCATTTACAAATTGGTGTCAGGGTCGCCTTCGAAGTAGTAAGTACCAAATCAGCTACTCGTAGACCTCCATAAATTAATGCAGAGGTCCAATTGGCCTTTATGCTTCAACGCGATTCCATATGAAAGGTTAACAAAGTGACAGTTCTGCCACGAGGTTAATAGCCAACGTTGTCACGATCCTTTGAAGTTATCACAACCTTAGTTGAACAATTGTTGTCGATTATATAACTTTAATGATGTTGAGATATTTGGAAAACTCCGGACCGCAGGTGTCTGCTTTAGGGAACGAAAGCGCTATTACGCTTCCCGGGGGCTAACGCGTTGACCACCACACCATGCGGGTCCTTCGTTTCGCCTGTCTTTCAGCTATTTCTGTCGATCTTTTGCCATCAGCAATCGCCCGTCGGCGGGATGGATTTGGGGAGCCCAAATCGGCAGCGAACCCAGTTAAGCTGAGGCTGCAATTATAATCACAATTTTGACTTATTATTTAATGCCTACTCGTTTTAGCGGCAGGGTATATATTTAACGCGAAACGAAGGGCCCGCATGGTGTGGTGGTGAACGCGTTACTCCCCGGAAAGGACAATAGCGCGTTCGTTCCCCACCGCAGACCCCTGCAGTCCGGAGTTTTGCAAGTATCTCAACATCGTTAAAGTTATATTTCGCAATATATACCCTGCTGTTAAAATGAGTAGGCAGTAAATAATAAGTTAAAATTGTTGTTGATTAGTTGGAAAGATATCTAACGCTAACTAATGTAACTAATGATTACTAGGTCCAATGGTACTTGTGGGAAAGCCACAAAATCTGAGAAAGACTGCGTTCATGGAGAATGACATTCACCTGAGTCTCCAACTCATATACAGTAAAATGAATATTAATGAAAGTTCTAGCTGTGTCTGTCTAGATCAACAAGTCTACATCATAAATATCTTGGAAACAAACACGAACAGATGGAAGTTAAAGGCACGAAAAGTGCAGAAAGTCCTCCTCAAAACCCGAGTGCAGGATTAAAGGGAGATGAGCCAGGGAATATAGATGCACTGGAAGACGAAAAAAAGTAATAAGAAATGACGATTTCGTCTTTCAAATTCAGACAAACGAACTCTAGCTCATAATAAACTTTAGAGATTTCTTCCTATGTTCCGAAGAAAGGCAGAATGCGAGTCTCAGTGATGTCATGTGTAACGCATGAGTCTTCAGAAAGCGTAACCGCGGTTCGACCTGCTCTGGGGTCCAAGCACTACAAATTGTTCAGCACCATTGCGGCTATATTTCACATAATACCATACCGTGAAAAAACGACGGGCAGTAGATAAAAATCTTGCATTGTGGTTTCGAGATGTCATCGGGCGGGATAAAATGATACCCCGTATCGCATAACGATTAATATAAGCAGCCCCTTCGCTTGCGTTAGGGAAGTTGTTTTCTAAGTCCTCAGCAAAACCCTTACATTCATTCGAAGCAGAATATGCTGGTCCACCATACCATGACTATAGTATGGAAAAGTCGATAAGTGTGCACAAATCTCAACTTTCTACCTGGCACCATTACAGTGACACAACGAACGAAGACGATTTGTTAAACGGCCCGGTCACAATAACTTCCATTCGGTTATTCGGATCAACCAATAACGTGGTAAAACATCTTTAGGGTTCACTATCAATCATGGTAGTTCTTGTACCCTACTTTTTGTTATCACTAACCAGCCTACGTCGCCGAAATCAAGAAATAAATCGTTTCCTCCGATGGGAAGCGCCAACTTAGTTGCTATTCTAACAAAATAGGTCTTGGAGACCATTTATAATCACGTTAATGACAGACCTGAAAGACGAGATATGAGAAGAACAGAACTGGAAACCCACCACGGATAGACAACGAATCCAGACTAATAGGATCCTTATTTTTCGGTGTCATCTTTACAGAACGAAGATGCATATTCATTGCCACATCAACACCAATTATTCCACCGTGGACTAGTGTCCCATTTTTGAGCTCGATCGTCACAGTCTCGTGGATAAGTTTCATCAGAAAACGAACTAACTTCATTCTCCTGGAAAAGAACTCATTGAACACAAGATTACGAAATATACTGATACTTAAAGTCATGGGAAGCATCCGAACACAGACACTTGTACACCACCGAGGAAGCAGTACCAGTCAGGATCTTAAAGCGAGTAGCAAGTTAAAGTTCTTCTGGCATATAGCCAACAATTTTCAAACGAAACCCTGATTCAAGAGAAGTCCTTTGGATGCAAACTCGTCCATTGATGGTACGTGTCGCAGAACCGCGCGCGTACGGCGATACTCAGCTCCAATCCGTCTTGCTTGTTAGCGTCGCCTTCTTGTGGGTTTCTTCGTGTTCTAGTTGTTATTTCCACTAAGTCTTCGTTTGCGATAGTAAGATACGTTCTTAAGTGCTCTTTGCTGGTTGTTGGGTGCTGATGGGGTGTTACATTGCTTTGTACTACGGTAAAACTGATGTTTCAGCAGTGTCGCCTTCTTCAGAGCCAGGTCGTACATACTGGACTCTAAGCGGCAGTGACTGTTTTTCCTCAATAGAAGGTACGTAAGAAACGGTACCGGAAAGGCGAAATTCACCGAAACGTCAGCTTTACCTTAATAAAAGATAAGGTAACACCTCGTGCTTCTTCAACAAGAATCTGGAGGATTACTTGATCAATGCCGAGGTTAATTGAGAATCGGTCGTGGGAATTACTGAAGAAAGAGTAGCTCGTTCAATCGTCGTTTATACAACAAGGTAACCAGTCGGTTTCTCGGTCCTCAGCCAACAGTCGAACCTTTTTTCTAGCAGTGGAAATGTCGTGTTGTAAGGTGCCAAGAAATTGTATTCTTTCCGAGGAGATTTTCCAGAAGTTTGTGTGATGGAAGAAGTGCCCTTGATAGGGAATATTGGAATTCAGGTATTTGCTTGACTTACCGTCAGTTCCTCATCTACGTGCAGTTAACAATGAGATTCGCTGTCAGAGTTCTGGAGGTTTTGTACGAAGTGTTATTGATAGCTTTTATACGATCTGAAGTGCAGTTTTATTGGAACGGTTTCCAGTAGACAGTTCTAAAGCGTTTGTAAAGTTGTCTATACAACATGAAGTAGTTTGCTAAGTTGTAGCTCAACGGAATAGCAGATATCAAGAAGGCTACACCCAGAAAATGGGGGATAATTGGCACGATTCCAGTTTGGTGTACTTAATCACGTTGTCTTTGACTTGTCATGTGTCACTCTGCAATCATAGCCTCTGTCTGTGTACTATAATCGCCACTAGAACTCTGGGCAGAGCAGGCCTTATTCGTTGTTTTTTGCATTTTATGCGTCCAACACAGCCCTGTTCATGCCATCTAGGTGTGGCTCCACTTCATAGTCGTATTGGCTTTTTGGCTAAATCATGTATGATCGATATCCTGATATACTCGAAATAAATGTAGGAACAGGATATGGATTTTTACCTACCATTCCATCCTGTATCTCCCATCGGTGCTTTGTCGTCAACCGTTTCTACGTTTAAAAGGGTTTTTCATAATGCTTCAATATCAACTATATCTGGGTATTCCACGAACATCCCAACTCCCATCCGGCCCGGACAGGTATGATCGCGGGCGAATTCGTGGACGAGTTTCACGTCGTAGGCGATTGCGCGTCGCGCGTCGCGTCTTGCAAGTTCTGCGCGTCCACTTTCCCCTACTACACGTTGGACCTCTCGCAGCGACGTGACCATATTGTGCCTAGGTTTTCTTCTTCTTTGACTTAACTGCGCTCTCGTCTCCTGATCCGTGTATTTGCCCTTACGAGTATGTGATTTCGGTTCATAAAAAAGGGGTGTTCAGGGTTCCAGCAAAGCGTTTCAGCAAAAATGGCACGTGTTTACTTAGGACGCTTGCCGTTCCGCGCTCGTGAAAGTGATATAGAACGGTTCGTATGCCACATTTAGTTCCTTGAATGGTCGATATTGTTTCGAAATAATTTCTGCTCTACAGATTCTTCCAAGGCTATGGAAAGATCACTGACATAGCCATGAAGAGAGGATTTGCATTCATTGAGTTTGAAAGCAAACGGGATGCTGAGGATGCTGTTGATGAGCTAAATGGACGCTCTATTTTGGGAGACAGGTACGAATGCTTCAATAACTATACAGTGTTTGGGGAACAACCACGTGATGGTCGAGTTCTAGAGGCTAAGTTTGTTGGTTTCATGGTGAAGGGATTTATAGTAAAATTCTCTCATTCGGATGGAAGTCTTTAGCAGAGTTTGGTTTCTAACAAGTAACTTCATGCATTTTTGCCTCGTTGTTACCAGAGATGACCAGGTTTTATTTGATTAGGATGAAGGTAGTGATTTTTAATTGGTTGGATTCCCTAACAGACTATTAATTCGGGAGACTTGCCGTAGGTAGGTGACTCATTGTTCCATGAAGAGTTCTAATTTATATTGTTAAAGGTTTCCTAAAGATTTCGAGAGACTGCTTAACGCCACCTATCTTCACAACATCTGTATTAAGAATATACGGCGTTTTCTGTTTGTATTCTAAGTGGTGCAGTGTTAGTTTGGAGAAGTACGATGTGGTTTGAACACTTCCTCTCAGAGTACTTGTGGAGATTGCGAAGGGTCGTCCCCATGGCAGCGATGTTTACCGTTATCGATCTCGTTCACGCTCTCGTGATCGCAAACGTCGTAGTCGTTCACGTTCTCGAAGTCGCGATCGAAGACGAAGCAGAAGTCCAAGGTGGGTTTCCTTGTATTGAATATCATGGAGACGTTTAAATCCAGCCTCCGTTCCAAAAATTTTCGTGGAATTATGTTCTAGGTTAACATAGGTAGTTAATGGAAAATCGAAATCATCGAAAATGAAATACATAATAGCAGAATAGGCGGTGGAATGCTGAATGTTAAGTCAAAACTTAACTGTGTGTTTGTACTAGGGTGAAGGTGATTTTGTACCATTTAGAAGAGGACGTAGTCGTTCGAGAAGCCGTAGTGGCTCTCCAAGAAGACGCAGATCTCGAGGAAGGCGTGATTCCAGCCGTTCGAGAAGCCGCAGCAGGACACCTGAGAAGAAGCGTCGTTCTAGACGTCGCAGCAGGACCCCGAAACGTGATAAGCGTTCACCAAAAAGTTCTCCAGAGAAGACATCAAGCCGCAGCCCTTCTCCTAAGAAGGGAAGAAGTCGTAGTAGATCTACTTCACCAATTGGAAACAAGAGAGATGATTCAGCATCTCCTAAAAGGGGACGCAGCAGTTCTCCTAAAATTAAGAGGGATTCTATGAGTCCTTCTCCAAAAAAAGTAAGGCGAACTCGCAGCTCTTCTAGAGAAAGTGCAGATCGCACTCCTTCTCCTCGTAATGACAAGTCGAGAAGTGCCAGCCCTACTATTGAGAAGGTTTGTTGTAATGCTTACGCATTAGAGCTAGATTATATCATTACTTGCTTTAGAATGGCCGAGGAAAATCCTCTGAAGATAATGGGGGCCGCTCACCTCGTAGATCGCGTTCGCGCAGTCCTGGCGGAAGCGGGTCGGACCGCAGTCGTAGTGTTAGCCCGGAAGAGAATGGCAACCGTCGCGGATCGTCCAGTGATCGCAGTGTTTCTGATCGCGATGACTAGAGGGAAAGTGAGTATTGCAATTGCTTTTGGTATTTGTGAATACTAAGAATTGTGAAAGGGTGGTTTCTATCTTACATCCGCAATGAAAAGTGGTCTATTCTCGGTTTGTTCTAAAACTGCAATATGCCCACAGTAACGTGTTGTGTTGTTTACGTGGTCAGATGAAACCCTTACCTTAAGACTTTATGCCAAGACGTTATTCGTTGTTTATTATTCTCACCATTGTGTTTGATCCATTATTCATTTGCATTTTTCAGTCTACAATTTCTGTTCAAGTAGTCTGTGTGTATTTTGTTTACATAAATATGTTGAAGGGAGTCATTGTCTCTAAATGAGCTATTTGAGAGTTGCGTTCGGAGGACGAGTTCAACGATCACGCGATTCGTGCCCCCGTCCCATGTTCAATCGTTCCATGGTACAGTCGTTCAATCCACAACCACCACCAGTTCACTGGCATTTCGATCCCCACGAGCTCGTCTCCTTTGCAAACAACTAGCGAAAATCAAAACCATGCAAGGACAACAACATCTAAGTTGACGGTTGTTTGCCATTCATAGTCATATAGCGAACGTTTATCGAAACAGCGCCTTTTGCGGAAACACTCGTAAGCAGCTTATAGTGAAAACCGTCAATCAATCAACCAATCAATCAGTCGCTAGTGTTGTACGATCGAGTACAAAGCGATTTACACCATTCAGCGGACGCGAATAACCAACAAGTAGCAGGCATGAGTGCATATGATGTTTTGAGGTACAGTTTCACGGATCTGCTTTTCATAGAATTGTGTTTCAGTGCACATTTCCTGTTTCATCAGTGCAGATTGTCCACAATGGTCAAAGCACATTGATCAATCTCATTTTCATGTAAGCTGTATGGTGAGAGCGGAACTACCGATGTCTTGTTGAGTGCTTGTCCACAATCTGAGTGTGGCTGTATGGTAGCATTTTTTCCTGTGGTAATGCTACATGAGATTAACCTGTGTTGAAGAATTGATCACAAACTTATAACACTGTGAGGTGGAGGCATTATGATGCTTTATGAGAGAGAGAGAGAGCAAGAGGGAAGTAAAGATGGAGAGAGAGGGAGTTAGATTTATGGATATAATTTTGGAATTGGACATGCTCTTTGTGTCATTGTGTAGATGTGTTTGCAGCGGCCGTTTTTATAGGGATTTCAACAATGGTACGGATGTGTAAGTGTTCCTGGAGTTCTTTTTGGGGTGTATTTGGGTTACAGTCCGACAACTGTTCACTTTTTTACTTAAATTGTTCCGGATTAGGCTTGGAAAAAGAAAAGGTCGATATGGTGTTCACGTGTTCGCGTTCATGACAGTATCAATTCTTGTCAACATTGTGGGAGCGTCGAAATACTACCTGTACGCTGACGTATCTTTTTGACGATCGTGGAAATTGTGGAATATCGTGCTTCAAAACAACCACTTAACAGTTGGATTCTACCCTGATGCCAGAACGCATGGTAGGAACAACGGAGTCAGATAGAATACCAGGTAAAACTTTTTTTCGAGGAAGTTGGTTGTGATAATTTATCGAATAAGCTGTTTTCGTCGACTAGCTATTTTATTATTCGGCGAAAAATTTGCTATTGCAGGTAGCAATTAAGTTCCACACTTGGATACTTGGACGGCCCGTCCTCACTGGTTGTGCGGGTCCCAGCATAATTTCCACTTTCTCGGAATTCTGCTGGTTTAATTTTCCCTAGAGTGCCAAGGTCAGCCTAACCAAGGTTTCGCCCACGTCGTCACCACCACGGGCAGTCGCCGCCCTTGTGGATGAGGGAGACTCGCCAGCATGCGACTTGTTTGGTGCCAGAATGGTGGTGGTTTCTGGTGCTGCTGTACACTCAGTTGGGCTTGCTGATGAGGACGCTGGACTCCTCATTTTGAGAGACCCTGCCGGGAGATGAATATTCCCACTGTTCATTGCAGCTCGACACGCAAGAGCACCTGTCAGCCACAATGAGGCGCTAAACCGTTAGGAGGAAGTTGCATACTAATTTGAAGAGTTTTCGGTAATCTCAGAATTTCAAGTAGAACTTATTATCTTTGTTACTGCATTACTTCTATTAAACTTATTGGTACGGCTCAACCAGTATGTTGTTTCATAGTCGTGTTTTTGACGAATTTCAACTGTTGTACCCGTTGTACGGTTAGGGTCTTACATATTGGTGCCTGTGTTTCTTGTCATCAGTTGTATCCATGATGGAATAACTACGCTGAGTCGGAAGGTTGGTTCTGGTGTTGTCTGAGAGGAAAAGAAACTGAATACATCGATATCTTACGACGTTTCACTGTATGGACGAAATGCGCGGTGCCCAATGGGCGAATACAAGACGGATTCCTAGGAGATTAATCAATGCTCAACGCTTTACGCTTAACAGCAGGCAGTTTAGAACTTAATAGACATACTTTTCTATATCGCTCTAGGGAAATATGTACCTTTTATGATATGCTCTTTCCTTGTTAAAATCGTTTGGAATTTCTGTTCGTGAGAACTTTAAAATAAAAGATGGATCTGGATTTTTTGGAATTTCCAAGGCGAGAGCGGCATTCATGAATGCCAGCAGTAAGTTAGGGGACTATTGTATCTTGATTTGGAAAAGGCAAGCTATTGACCATTTCGGTGTTTGAATTACGAACCTCGACGAAGAAAAGCGGAAGAACTACCACAGGCTCCAGGAATTGGATGGTATTTCCTGTTGTTGCTGTTTACTTTTCATATATAATGTGTTGAATACGAAGTTATGTAGATCGTAGTGGTTTTTGTTCTGACTAGTACGATTTTGCTATGCATCCAATGACCAAGTATGTTGAATTGATGGAATATTAGATGGAATGTACAGTTACACCACATGAATCAGTCCATTTCGTACGTTATGTGTTAAGCAGTGATTCAAAGTGGCCTACTAGTGTGCTTCCTGATTACGCTTTCAAATAAATGGATTGAGTTCCGATGTTTGTAAGTGTGCTTCTAGTCTATGTAATTCATAAATGACAACACTGAAAAATCCACTAGACTTAGGCAGTCGGTTGTTTTCACTTAATTATGAGACATAGTTGTAAAAGCTCTGAGTTTGAAATAAGCAGCATGGTGTGTCTTCAGTTAAGCTGATTCTTCATGTGGAGGAATCAAGGGTGAGTGGTAAAGACGTTAGACAGGCTGTAAACCAGCGTCGAATCGGGTGGAATTTAGCGGAGTACTTTTTGAGTGCATTACATTATCACTTAAGAAGTTACGTATGGATGCTTGTAGGGTGATGTGTGGACAGGTACACATCCTCATTGATGGTATTTTGTACTCAATATAACCCAGAGGTGGGAGAGAGGAGGGAAGGAGGAGGTGCGGGGCTGGGAGTGGTACTGAGCAAACATGGTCAGCTTTCGATTTTAAATTAGTTTCGAGAGTCACCCAAGCGACCAGAGTTCGTAGAACTCTCCTTGCTTCCTCATTCCGTGTGATGTTTTGGCTAGATGCGACTTTGAAGACGGCCGAAAGTTCCTGCTTTGAGCACAGCTCGGGCAATTGCGTGGCTGAAAGCGATGCCGTCAAAGGGTTGCCGTGTTAGGAATTTACTGCCATCCTGATGTATGTTCATGTATAAGGCCTTGTCTATATCTGTGCCTTGTGTGCAGTAGAACTCGGGAATTGGGACGTTAGTGAAAGGACTAGAGACGGGTTCTATCATGCTGGTCCTGATCAGAACTTGGTATCGGCTCGAAGATAAGCATCGTTTAGCGATTGCATCCGAAAGTGCTGTATGGGAGGAACCTGAGTGACATTATTGGGGCCAGTTCTATCATGCTGGTCCTGATCAGAGCTTGATATCGACGCAAAGATTAGCACCGTATAGCCATTGCCACCGAAACAGCTGTATCTAAGAAGCCATAGGATGGGGTATATAGTACGGCT